TGTGGCGGCGGGTATCTTGGACCGATTTTCATCATACATAGCTAAGAACACTCCCTACTAATTCACCTCTCAAACAAAATAAAATAAAATAGGATCATCCGTTTGGGGGCTACGATGCCACAGACAAAGGCATACACAGACACGTGAAATGAAAATGCTTCTATCCATTTTATCTATGGCCTATTTATCTTAACAACATTAACAATACCTTATGCATTTTTGTTAAGACAGATTTAAAAAAAAACTCTAATAATCAAGGAAGTAGATACTATTATTACACATCGAGCTGTTCACTGCAGTTCTTCATCTAAATTATTCGTTTATTTTAATAAAATCGTATTAACAAATGTCAAATAAAGATGGAAATTTTCAAGCCATCAGCAACATTTCATTAGCATTTTTAGTCCCGGGGCTCGTTTTACCTCATCCAATTGAAGACTGGAATACTTTGAGTTATGCCGTCTTTGAACATTTTTCCACTCACTGCTATCCTTGAAACTTTACCATCGAAAAAAGGTTTTAAAAGAATTTTAATTAGTGACTGAAATCTTATTTATTCTTACGTTATCATTATACTAGCTGATGCCCGAGAATCATTCCGCGCGGAATTAAAAAAACTTAATAAGCCTATGTATTCTTCCAGGATACGTTCTATATGTATCCTAAATTTCATCTAGATCTCTTCAGCCGTTCTAGAGATACCTTCAAACAAACATCCATTCATCTATCCATCCAAACATTTGCATTTATAATATTAGTAAGGTAGTAGGATTGCTGCCTTGTTATTAACCGTGTGTTTCTGTAAGGTTGGAAAAAATTGAAATCCGTTTAAAGCATAGATAGAGAATGCCATGGATGATTATATGTTTCATACAGATATTTTAATCTCTGAAAGAGACGGAATTCTGTGTTGCTTCTGTTAATTTCTACTTTATATTAATGAGTCCTTTTTCTTTTTTTTAGTTATGAATTAAAACATAAGAGTCTCTACCTTCTCTTAAAGGATAAAAACAAAGATAACAAGGATATTCGAGATGTCGATAAAAATAAGTGCCTCAATAAAATTCAATAAAAAGTCTTTAAATTTCATTCAATGCGACTTGGACAAAGCTTTGTCTTTGACATTTAATATAATTGGAATTTTAACGAGACCGTCTTAACTGATGTTGATTCTTTAGTCTTTTTATTATATTGTAACTAGAGGAAACCATGAATATAGATATTTCTTGATAAACGAGTCAAAATGCTAATGTTTTCCATGCGCATGAACTACCTTTTTCAAACATGCCGATTTCTATGTAATTTCTACTGGGACATCCTACAGCCTATACGACTGACCGTGGGTTTCCGAGACCAAAAGTCTTTTTATAAAAAATGTCGTCATCCCTGTCATTATCTTTGACAAAACCAAAATAATAATATATTTTAAACGGAGATTATAGTCTCAGAAACCCACGGTCAAATTATTTTAACAAGTTAGGTGTGTGCTCATTTTCCTATGAGTTTCATTAAAGTACAGTCAAACAAATCGTGTTTGAAAACTTTGTTCAATGATAATCTAACCAAACACGAATTTCCTTTTTATTACTTTAGGTATTTTCTCTCGCGAAGGTACATGTGTCTACACGGTAATCCATCAACTGGCCTCGACGGCGATTTACACTGACAGATGATTGAACAAACAAGAAAAATACCTTTTTATGTAACAGACTTGTGCAAATCTTCTTTTTAAACTTATTGGTACTAAAATCAGACTACACGAGAATTAAGCTGGTATCTAATTAGTTTATGAAAAGCCTAAGAAAAGTTTTATTAACTTTAGTTACGCAAATGCGTGATGTGTACGAAATAAAATTTTATTTTATGTAGCATACAGACACATCAATCCTATTTTCTGTACAGATTTTCATGACTATCGATCTATCTATCTGCTAGAAGCAACAATACTTATAAATAGGTTTATGATAAGGTTTTTACACATAAAAAATATTGGCGCATAAGCTAATACTAGCTTCATTGTACAATAATTAAGTTGCCGCAGCTTTAAGCAACTGTCAATACAACCTACAAATTATTTGAACTGCCGACTTAATGTATTGTAATTATTCCTGCCACCGCAAGCCTTGTATTTCACACATTTCGAGATTTAACAGGTTGAGGTTTACGATGGAAATAGAAAAACGATGTGGAAATGTCAAAATAGTTAAATATAGCTTAATAATTACAAATTGAAAATAATTGCACATTTCATCACATTTATACCAATTGACGCTGTACTTTTAACAGCCAATTTGACGTACACGAATGTATTCGCAAATGCAGCATATTGAAGTACCAAACGTGTCTTTTTTGACACATTTGAACTTCAAATACGCACGCAACGCAGAACTATGCTTGAGTTTGCACATTTATGAGTATTTAAACTGACGGAATGTGCGATAAATATTTCAAATAAGAATTAAATGGAGGTAGTTACTTTAGTTAGTGGAATAATTCTAAATTTTAAGTATTTTATAGCACAAAACTGTGTTAAATTTGCTAATATTATTTTTACTAATAATGTAAAATAGTATTGGTATATCGTAAATATTTTCAGTCTATTTCTGACTTTGTTTGGCTTGACGCAGAGCTAAAAAAACAACTAGCAATTAAAAATGTTTTACATCGCAATGGCCGGGATAGAGATTTACAACAAAAAGTAAGCCCAACAATGAACTTCATTACATTATTATTTAGTAATATTAAATAGTAATTATCAATAAGTACTGAAATAATTATACCGAAATCAGTGGGGATACATATTTATAGTGAAACATATAAACACGTTGACCTTCATAACATTAATCAGCGACAAGCGAAGTGGTAACGCGTGTTTAAGTAAACAACGTCTTACTATTTTTTTAATGGAAATACAGTTAGTGTTTACCATATGGGTAAATTCGAAATTTGATTTTGGATCTCTAAGCTACCGTAAGTTAAGTGTCAGCAAAGCCTTTTAGACTAGAAGTCATCATCATCGACTCACTTTACGTCCCCACCGAGGGGCTCGGAGCCTACCCCAAGTTACGGGTGATTGGGCCATAGTCAACCACGCTGGCCAAGTGCGGGTTGGTTGACTTCACACATATCTTTGAATTTCTTCTCAGATATGTGCAGGTGTTTTCCTTCACCGTAAGACTAGAAGTATAACAAACATATTAATTTAACGTTAGCGGTTCACTGTATTTATAATTTTCCGTCGCATATAGCAAATTGATTTATTTGTCTTGTTTATACAATAGGGTTGCCAAAAATTACTGCCTCAAACTGAATGTACGAGCTCTGCGTTTTCCTTAACGACATTTAAATGTTCTATTGTTTCGACAAATTTAAACTCCGAGGGATTTTCAACATTAAATTATCCCCGTATTATTAAGAACGGTTTATGTGTTATTTTATATTTTAACTAGCTGTCGCCCGCGACGCCGTCCGCGCGGAATTAAAAAAAAACATAATTAGTAGCCTATGTGTTCTTTCAGACTATGTTTTGTATACATGCGAAGTTTCATCGAGATCCTTTCAGCCGTTTTGAAGATACCTTCAAACAAACATCCATCCATCTAAACATTCGTATTTATAATATTAGTTAGAAGTAAGGTTTTATCACTTTATTGGAAAACTGCACAGTGGTAAATTATGAAGTAAAGAAACACGTGGTTAAATTTAAAAGTTACAATTCAAATATCGGCAATTTAAGTTTCTCGATAGTGAAGCTTTTGATGGTCATTTATCAATGTAAAGCGCTCAGGTAAGTACGGTTTTTATCAAAGAACGTGAGAAATAGTGTTCAAATGCTCCCAACGGACTGAATTTACACTGAACATAAAACAATTCTATCTAATCTACCAGTTATACGAGTAGTTTTATGTTTATCACCATAGAATTACATATCCAAACCTATATACTAACATATACTAATATTTAATATATTTATGATTTATATATTTAACGTTTAGATGTTTAATTCTTGTTAGAAAACTCAAATGTTATAAATTAGTTAAAAACATACGACGCCGTAGACCACGTAAGTGGTTTGGCGAGAAAGTTATGAATATCTTTGACATCACAGTTATAATTAAATAAATAAGAAAAAAAACTTAGGTTAAAGCTGAGAGAAATGAGTATGAATTTAAAGATTAAACGAAGAGGATGCGACACGGATTCGAGCTACAGGCGAGTGGTTTCACACTTCGGAGGCTGACAGGTTGCCGGCGGGCGCGGCGCGGCCAGGGGCGCCTCGTGCCCGGGCCGCACGGAGCGGCAGTATCGCGCTGGACGTCGCGCGGCCCGCTCACTATTTCCGATATGACAGCTGGGCAACTTTCCCGCTAGCATCCATACGTGTTGACCGCCCGCTACGCTTTTCAATTTCATCATCCCGGTGAAATTTGCACGTGAATTTTATGGTTATAACTGCCAATAATAAAGTGAACTGAGTGCAATTTTGTTTTACTTTGTGATATTAATTTTTATTTTAAAATTCACATTGGATGAAGTGAGTATTTTATATTTTTTTTAATGCAGATTTGAATTATATTATAAATATGGTTCTTAATGTTTTATTTTATTTTATTTTATTTTATTAGAGTTGAGATGAAGAAGTTAAATAAAATATATGTAACCGGAAAAACATTATTTTTCGAAGTTTCGGCTTGAAGTTCAAAGTCCCACTTGGCACATAGGGAAAAGACTTCCTTTACGTTCCTTAATTTAACGAAATTTAACTTTTGTACAAATTACACCAGAAGTAATTCCCGAGTTTCTTACAAATTTGGTATTGCGAAGAAAGCGCAATAATTAAAACAAATCTAATAATTAGTATTAAAACCAAAATAAGCTCCAATATCCATTATATTGAGATGTAAAATACTTGTAAAGTAAATTTGTGAGCTTCACACGCAAAATAACGAAGCGGAATAATAGTAGTGATTTTCCACTGCTCATTATCATTCTCTTCGAAAGAAAGAGTATAAGAGTAAGTAACAACATATTTTGTACATTTGTTAAGGCAGGCTCAAGTTAACGCAAAAATGTTAAAATATACCATAAACTGCAAGAATTTTTCACTTATTATTATTATCTTAAAGAATCTACAGCTCTACGCATATAATCGTACTAAAATAACTTAATTACATTCGATATAAATCTTATATTCTTCTCATTGATTTCAATTCAAGTACTGTAATAAAATTTCATATCATGGATGAATTACAGTTAAACAGCAGCCCAATAAAATTTATTATAGCCATCATAAATTAAAACATTCATAAAGCATAATAAACAGCGTTAGTACACGAGAAGACTTGTAATTTGTAACTGAGCGTGTATTTAATGAAATGTTTAAAAGAGAGACGAGCACAAAGCACTTGAGGTCTATTCTATCTTTTACTACGTGAACATAGCTCGAGTAGCAATCTTATTTCTTACTCTAACTTAATATTATAAATACGAAAGTTTAGATGAATGGATATTTGTTAGCAGTTAATTACGGTTGAATGGATCAGAATGAAATTTGGCATAAATATAGATTACTTACTGTCTGGACTAGCGCACAGGCTACTTACTGACTATTGAGATTATTTATTTTTTCAAAAAATTCCAATTTTTTTTAACAGAACGATAGGGAGTACAAAATGTATAGACCGACAAGGCTATGTGAACCGTTGGAGATAAGTGAAACTAAATTATGACAGCTCACTAGCGCCCCCCTGAATAAGTCAAAAAAAATCTTTTGTACTATAACTGTTATGTCTTTTTTTTATTTTATGTTATTATCTACGTCTACGCAGGTTTAATATATATCCTGAAGGAACAAACTGCGATAGCAGCGCCTCTCTCACTGTTTCAAAAATCCTTGTTTAACTATAGTTATGTCGTAACGTGACACGCTACACGTCGAATAACATTGACAATACGAAAATGGGCCAATGTTTTAGAAACGCTACAAACAAAAAGAGCACGAAGTCGGACCTTTTTAAGACAGCACTTGTTAAATGAGAGCTTTAGAAATGAACTCTTCGCCAGTTGGCTATTCATAAAATACGAAGTCATCCTTGACACAAGGAACATCTCAACAATGGAGGTTTCAGAAACAATTTGTAACTTTTTCTGAAACAATCACTTTCAGTATTCAATAGGTATTGTTTCTTTTTTCAAAGAATATCAAATTATAACAATACTTTTAGTTTTCTTTGCATTATATATAAAAACAATACTGGTATAAAGAATAACAGATATTAATTCATATCAAATAAATCTGTTTTTATATATTTTTTATTAACTGTTTATCTGTTTCCATGAACTGGATCTATGACGTATAGCCAACGAATTATTATTATAAACGCGGTAAGGTTAAATGACAATGTCGTCTAAAACAAATGTAAGTGGCCTTTGTAGCTATCGACTGCCCACGCAAACTTTATTTAGATTAAATTCCTACACGTCAGATACGTATTTAGGCCGCAGAAGTGTGAAATTGAACTTGAACTATAAAAGAATTTTAAATACAATGAAAAAGAAATCTTTCCTTAATATTATCATGCGCTAATTTAACTTAACGGTGAATTTATATTTCAAAAACATATGTAATAAACATTTAATCATCTCCTTCATTATCTTTGAAAAAACAAGGTGTAAGATGAGAAGAATGCTTAAAATATTTCAAACGTTTTAACGTACAACGACAATGTTATCTCTTTACATAATATATTTTGTATTTACTATAATTTATTTTATTAATTTATTTATGCCATTGACTTGACCGGACCGGTCTGAAATCTACACGTCCAGGTTCGATCCCTGACATGTAGGATTGTGTTATTCGATTTACGAAATTCATATTCATCTATCCGACGTTATTACGTATGTGTGAAGTTAACCATCCCTCATTTGGGCAACGTGGCTATGGCCTCGAACCCCCTAACTTGGTTAAGCTCCGAGGTCCTTGAAGGGGACTCTTATTATTGCCGTTATTAATTTAAAACCCCAACGAGACTTATTAATGTTGAAACGATAACAATTTCCTTTATTTCGAAACTTCGAGTCATTGTATTTCATTCAGGAATAATTATTACAAGTCTATTGGGAATCTGACATAATAATTACGTAAATGAACCAACTAAATAATAATAAATGTAGAAATAATATATTTGACGATAAATAATTTCATTTTTATATTATTTTTACGTTAATGATTTTATATTTCGATTCATTGATTTAAATTTTGTTGTAGTCTTTTGTTTTCAAAATAATATGAAATTGCGGTTTCCGTGTAATCTTTTAAATGGTTATACTGACATTAACCAGATGGAGAAAATGGAACAGAGAAGAAAATAATTAGAAATAAAGTAACCTTTTTCCAATTTACTTTAATCTTTTCGTCCATTAAGTGTTTCTAAAAGGAAAATAAACGACGTCCTTTAACATTGTTTATCGATTGTAGAAAATGATTTTCCAAATAACGTTCTTATATTTTCCTATGTCGATCTAGTAGAATAAAAAAATGATTTTATATTTACAGCCACACTAAGATTTATTAAATTATTGTATAAGCAATTGTTTAAAAAGATTTCCTATACAAATCTAAGGGCCAATAGTTTATTGATGAGTCTTGAATGTTGCAGTTAATCTTAGAGGAAAATTTACAAGGATTACGTTTAGAACTACGATGTCGACGATGTAACAAACATATCACAAAAAGTCACGTCTATCCACACATTTGTGTGTTGCAATTTATGCACATCAAAGTATAGTTAGTGGAGATACTTTATTTTTTAATAACATTAGAATAGGACATATCAATACAAGTACTTTCTTAAACTACGAAGTTTCGACTTAATTTACTTTTTTTTTATAAAGTAACTAGCTGTCGCCCACGACTCCGTCCACGCGGTGTTAAAAAAACTTTTTAAGTGCCTATCTGTTCTTCCAAACTATGTTCTACATTTATTCTGTTCCGGAGATACCTTTTAACAAACATTAATTAATCCATCCATCTATCTAAAAATATGCATTTATAATACTACTAGCTGTCGCCCGCGACTCCGTCTGCGCGGGATTAAAAATAGATGTTGGCCGATTCTTAGACCTACTCAATATGCTCACAAAATTTCATGAGAATCGGTCAAGTCGTTTCGGAGGAGTATGGAAACGAAAATTGTGACACGAGAATTTTATATATAAGATATAAGATTTATTTGCAAGCACAGATCGCCATTTGAAAATAGTAATAGAGATTGCTTGCTGTGTAGTGGCTTTGTGTGTCTTTACTATGACCGGCCCCGCTGTAAACTGTTGTATCTAAATACTGCAGCTGCAAATGAATATATGTTCTGCATGTTCGATTTAATGCGAGATACAACGCAAATAGGTCGAGCTATTTCCTATTCATACTATTGTGTCATTTACTTTAAGAGATTAAATTATTGTTTCTTAACATACTTAGAATACTTTTATTGAAATACATACATACATGTATTTACTGTGACCTCGTCGCGTACGTCTTGACTCTCGTGAAATTAAAAAAAAAACATTTATTCATGTATGCGTTATTTCAAAGTGCAATCTGTCTATCTAAGCCATGATGCCTGATACATCTTTATTGTTTCTCAAATTACAATTTAATTTTTGACGATTTTAGAATTACGTATAGATTCGTTTTGAAAAGTTTTGATAAAAATCACTGGCACGGATTTTCCACTTCTAAATACAGTTTCTAGTTCAGGTAAAATAGACTTATGTAGCTCTCTGACTAGAAAAAATACACGTTCCCGTTGGATGCGACGGATTTTTCTAGTCAAGAGTCACGGTCGTCGCTTCAACGTGGGCGTGCATTTATCTTCTTTTATCTTTTATATCTATTTTTAAACAAAACCTAGACTGGAATATTATAATGATACAAAAAAATAAAAATAACATCACTGCTTTTCTATAAAAGCCATACATACCAATGTTTATCGCATAATTTATTGTGTTACCGCAACAAAATACAAACTTACTAATATTATAAATGCGAATGTTTAGATGGATGGATGGATCTTTGTTTGAAGGTATCTCCAGAACAGCTGAATGGATCTCGATGAAATTTGACGTACATATAGAACATTCTGGAAGAACACATAGGCTACTAATTAAGTTTTTTTTTAATTCCGCACGGACAGAGTCGCGGGAGACAGCTAGTACAAAATAAAATGTCGTTCAAGGAGTCAATCTAAATTCCTTCTAACAAACATCTAATTTTAACATGAACCTTAGAGATACAATAAAATCACGATTTTATCATATAGCTTTGGATTCTCGCCCAATGTATAACAAACATAATATTTAATCATAATCACTTGATGCCAGATTTATTATCTGCCAGTACGAAGGTACATTTTCCAAATAATTCCATTGTCTCTATTACCTTTTTTATGTGGGACGTTCAATAAAAAAAAATCACTTCAACAGTCATAGAAGAGAATGTTCTAAGGAAGAAAGGTAGCAAAGAAAATATTTAATCTGTGATTAATATTCATGTCATCATTTATTAGTATTGAAGAAGTTAGCAAGTTGTGGCATACAGTTATAGGAAATACAAGCTGTCGCCCACGACTCAGTCCGCGCTTAGTTAAAAAAAACTTAATAAGTAATCTATTTGTTCTTACAGACTATGTTCCACCTGAGCCTAATTTCATCAAGATTCGTTCAGCCGTACCTGAGATACATTCAAACATCTATCCATCTAAACATTCGCATGTATAATATTAGTAAGATATAATGTCTGTTAACCTTGCTAAACCTTTTGGTTGGGAAATATCAGTGCCTATGTGTGAGTATGTAACTCTTCTTGATTTTTTATGTGTTACCTCATTTGTCAAGGTCAAGTGTTACAATCTGTCAACTTGGATTATTGTAAAAATGTAAAAGTTTTTTCCAATTGTACCATTAACTTATTTCAGATGTCGCATATTTTTTGTCGTTGAATTGTTCTGTGTTGTTATTGTTCAACTTACGGAGAGTTTTGTATAATTTTTCTTTGAGTTTGTGAAACTTTTTTTTTACTTTTCGAATATAAAATGATTTAATGTATTGTCTATAGAAATTTTCCTTTTGTTCTTTCAAGAATAATGTCAACTGCGTATATTTTTATAGCATAAGTTAGTCGGGATCAAAGAACTTTTGTTTTATTTATTTCATCTTACGTTAAAATATTATTGTTATTAAATTTTCCTTTTTTTAGATATTCTACAAAGGTATATTTATTAAGAGTTTTTTTTATTTCTCTCTGGGGGATGCGACATCTTAATCCTACAGTTTATTTGTTAAGGTTAGCACTTTATGTTACGGTCCGTTTTACTAAATACATACAGATAGGTGTACCATTTTTCGAGACTTAGCATGTCTACATCTAACTAACATTATAAATGAGTGGATGGGAGGATGTATGGGTCAAGGTATGTTGAGAACCGTTCAACAGATGTCGACGAAATTTGGCATGGACGTAGAACATAGTCTGGAAGAACACGTACACTAGTTATAAAGTTATTTTTTTAACTTCGCGCTGATGTCGCGGGAGACAGTTAGTGTTCAGTAATCTAAATTTAACGTTGTCTTATTTTGATTCGAATTTATTTTGAAATATGCTTTTGTTGGACAGGTGCGTGGGTTTGTATTGTATAGCGCCGCCATTGTTCAGTCCGAGGCGGGCCTGACCACACCTACCATTCACACGCCTTTTGTAAACTCTCCGTTAGAATTAAATATGGACTAATTTACGTTTTGATAGACGTGTATACAACACACAATTTGTTATGGCCAACGTGCAAATATGCCTTTTGCAGGATCTTTCATAATGCTTATTACATATTTTTATTTTCAAATTTGTAATTTTTATCTACTATTCTATTTCTGACTTTAGTTTTTATGGTGAATTTATTTGTTAAGAACCCAATTATAGGAATACAACGGATTTAAAATTATTTATACAGTCCCGAAATCGATGTTAGATCTAAATTGCCGATACTGCTTTGAATCAGCATTTAAAAAACCATTAATGGACAAAAGCTTTTCCCTTAAGCGATTTTCGTCATGATTCGAATCTTAAAAACGATTGATTAATAATCCCTTTTTGTGGAATAAGCTGAAAGTAAAAGTGAATTTAAAAGCATTAAATATTCTAACAATGTATTTCAATTTATTAATAAGATCATTTATTTCCTAACGACTTAAACGCGTCTTTTAGTGTTTCTTATAAGGTAGATGCATCTCTGTTATTAGTTCGAATCCTTACTACCGCTATCAGCGCCGAAACGGTGAAAATCAAATAGGCACAAAATATCACGGTCTATTGCTTGTCCATGTATCAGAATTTCTGTTGCTATTTAACTTTAATTTTAAAATTGCTTACATTTGTAATTTATTGACAATCAATATTGTAGTAACATTCCGTTACGTTCCTTTTTTTTAAAAAAAAAAAAGTTATTGAAACTTTTTAAATTTAAAAGTTGTACATTATTAACTTTTTAAAACCGTTCCTTTTCATCGCTAACAACTTTCTAAGTATCTTTACAAAGTTCATCCTTAGCTTCATTAAAACAGTAAAAGTCACTAAGGAACAGACTGTTGTCTATTTTATAACCATCCGGGATATATAACAATCGCAATGTTTTGTTTTCAATAATACACACTGAACAATAATTAGATGAATGATTTAGATGTAAAACAATTGCGGAAGATGGCGATTTGTGATTTGTATTAAATGGATAAGAATTATCAAATCGACCTGTCATGTAGCATAATACATTAGGGGAGGTAAATTAAGGCAATTTAATAGATATTAAACTTACTGTAATGATCACATCCACGCGACACAGAAAAAGATTTACAAATAAATTGCGTTGCCTTTTTGTTTGTCGTGAGTTTTAAACGTACTTATTTATTCATTCAGTTGTCTTTACTTCCCAACGCCCCATTAGTGTTGTAGGCAGCGAAATATTGTTTATTTTTTTAAGAAAAAGTGCGCTGTCATCACGCAGTGCTAGCGCGAGAACGTCTCGGTTTCGCCGAACCGTCTTCCTGTCGCCGACCCGGATTTCTCGTGTCAAACTGTAGTTTCTTTTTTTTTGCTTATGATTTAATATAAGAAATATTTTTTAAGATACAAGAATTGTATTAAAAATTTGATAAATCATGTTTAAAGTTTCTAAATAATTTCTTTTTGTTATAAAGATTATTAAAACTTCCTAAACATTAAGGAGTATCAACCAGACTAAATCAACACTAAACAATAATTAAGTTATCCTTATTATTCAATAGTTGATTGTCTACGGCATATGCAGCTGCATATGCCGTACAAACAAACAGTCTTGTTTGGTTATACTCCGAGACGCTCGTTGGAGTCATACATGAGCTAACGAAGGCCTTTAACCAAATACTTTCTTTTAATAGAGTTCTGCGGCAAAATGCGAACACTGTCGGTGTCAAGGGAAAATCTAACAAGCGTGCAGTGTCAGGTACAGCGAGCATGAGACGAGGAGCAGGTAAATGAAGCAACGAATAGAAACAATGTGGACGTCAGGAGTTTGACAAGTCGCAGGGAAGATACACGAATGAGACGCGGCAGTGTTTACAGTGTGAGCGAAGGCGTGGAGCGGTGCGGTTGTGCTAGGTAACACTTATTTAAAGTAGCATTAATAATACTCGTTAAGAAATGTCTTTCGGCGGGCGGTGTAATGGAACACGCGTGGTCCATGCACCGAAGTCAGGACAACTAACAAGTAGTCATAGCGTTGAAATTGTGGGGGTGCCGCAGCAAAGCGCTGTCAATATGACTCTTGCAGTTTTTAGTGGTAGGTTAGCACTGGTATTGGTCATTGATGTAAATGGTGACGCAGGTAGCGCGGGTGGGGGCGCGGGTGCGAGTGCGGGTGCGGGTGCGGGCGAGCGCCGCTGATGGCAGGCTGGTGGTCGCCGCCACTGCCGCCGCGCTCGGCCTCACCACCGCCCCGCGCCCCGCCGCCGCCGCCCCGCGCCTGCCGCTGTCCACACCTCCTGTCCAACAGCTACCACTGCCTACCTCGCTATGGTAAGTATAGCATTACTCACATTAAACTATAGAAATAAATGCTCTTCATTAGTACCGACAGCATCTTATTCGCTGACATAGCTCCTGTCCTTTGGATCAACAGATGCTGAAGAACAAAATTTATTGCTTCGGATGTAAACAAGGAAAACATTCTTATAAACAATCATGACAGACATCTGTGTTCATTTTGTGAATGAAAATAATAATTGTGACTGTAGATGGTTATCACGAGGGCGAGGAGGAGTCTAGCGGTGGGGCACTGCGTGAGAGAGAGTTGCGGTCTCTGCATCGCACAGTGCCCGCGCTGCGCCGCCGCGAGCTCGACACCAGGCCCATAAAACACCACTTCTATCCTGAAGGGGGTTGGGGGTAAATCAATCATTCATTTCATTGCACACAAGTAAGCTGTTCAACTAATGCTAATCGACCACGGCTTCAATAAAAGGTCCTTTGAAGCATATCCGTGATTAAAACTACAAAAATCTTTTTTTACCACAGGCATCCAACAAGATTGTGAAGACGTATAGTTTAGTATAATTGAAAAATAATCAGTTCTGAGTCATACTATTTTATAAGATAAGAAATAGTAGTAAAATCGTGAAAAATGTTGCTGACATAGTTCGTAAAATTAGCCAACTGATTTGATAATAGATAGGTCAAAGGACAGATAACATTGTGGAGAAAGAATCTTGAAGAGACAGCAAATTGTACTCAATGCTCCAAACAGATCGACGGATAAGTATTAAAACCTTTTGGAATAGTATGGCATCGTAAAACTCGGAATTGGAAAAAGCCGTATCTAAGAAACCATAGATTTAATAATTAATAATAATGTTTCATTAAAATAAACTACTAAATTCAACTAAGACAACAGAAAAAAATTAGAAATATTTGTTGAAAAAAAATATCTTAGTTTTTTCGATTGTCGCTTACAATAGGTTGCGAGTTATCTTAGAAAACGCCCATTGTAATTTCCTGTACAAAAATAAACACGAGTATAAATTTCCGTAAAATTTCCTGTCCGGATTCTTAAAAATATTTAACATGATTTTATAAAATTTGTTTATTAAGCTTATTCATTAATTTTCAATATTTATATTCCCGTGGTGGTCTATATTTTTTTCTTCTTCGTCTGTTTATCTTAGTTTTGTAAATATTTTGAAATCAACTAAGGTTTTTTTTTACAGTTGGATAGTTTGTGGTGCTGCGTTCTTAGCCCATCTGCTATCGACAGGATTACAGCTGGCTTATGGAGCTCTACATGTTTATGCTTTAAGACATCTGGGTCCGACAGCTGATCATGCTGGTAAGTTTTATTTAAAAGTAACTTCTTTATTCGCATTGAAAATTAGCTTCCCAAGTGCAAATCCCTTCCCATCCTTTTCTTATAAGAATTGGTCGGATATGGAAGCAGATTATAAAGTGCCATCCGGCTCACACATTCATCAGACGAAAAGCGGAATTATTTCCATTTCACGCCTGTCTTCTTTGTGATTGTAATCAAGCCGGCCATTTGTGTTATTGCTAATGCAACTGCGCACACTACATCTAGCCTTATAGTATTAAAAACATTGTATACCTAGATATTATCATGACCAAACTGAAATGGTATTAGATAAAGTCTTTCTCGGAGATATATCCCGCATTACGTTCAGTCACGTACTCAATCGATTTCCGACTCGTATCTTATATAAAGAGAATTTTCAATTTTATCAAAATAAATCAATTGTTATTATTTATCAAATAAGATTCTTATGTTTTTAATACTACTTTCTTGACATTTAAACAATTATTATATTTGGTCTTAGTAGATATACTGTGAGTTGATCTATCCATCTTCAAACCATCTTAGTACTTTATAAGTGAAGTCCAGAACTCCACTACGAGAAAGACAACTTACGTGAAATTAATGATCCTTTTCAGTGCCAATTTTCGTCACGAGAGGATAAGATAAATACGATAACAGATCGGACAAATACTCATTTCATTGAACCAACTAAACAAGTCACCTTACGTCTATGTCACTGAGTTATCTTTTAATACCAACACCAATTTCAATTTCCTTAACATTTTTCATCTGTTACATTAATGCTGTAACAAGCGTATAACCGACCGAACTTCGTTTTGTGCTATCTATTGAAGTACCGTTTTATCGAAAAAGATACTTGTATAATCGCTAAATGATGGTGCAAATAGTATCTTTTTCCTGTTAAAAATATCTAAATATATTCTAAATAAACAATACAAGTAGTATTATAATAATATCAAGGAATATTAAAATAAATTTTGTATTTAAATTTTTTCTAGCGTGTTAAAATATTACATCATAAAACTACTAATTAATCTTACTTTTTTAATTAGTAATAACATTTTATTATAAATTCAATTTATAATATTAAATTAATTTTTGTGTAGGCTCGTGATGAAATAGGCGGTATAAGTAATTTCATTTATTAACAAGGCCATTGTTTGTTGTTAGGGCGGGGCATAAGACTATATTTCTGTCAAATCCGGATTTCAAATTATAATTCGGGCAAGGCGTAGACAAATTTAATTTCCGTGACGGTAACCCTACATGGATATAAGTTATAAAAGCCCACTTTCCTTAATGGTCTATTATTTTAACATTACAAATGGTTTTAATAAAATTTTAATGGTAAATTTTAGTATTAATTAAAAATAAGCAATTGTGTAAGAAAATAATAATTAAATACCGTTAAAAACGGATTGAAAAAAAATATTTACAATAAAATAAAGATATTAATGACATTGTAAAACTTTAACGACGTACAACCTACGCGTCTGTCTATCAAAAGACAAAGTAATTAGTGACTTTAGAACTTCAATGTAAGCCTCAACTTAAATCTCATTTCAAATATATTACAGTATCAAGTATAAATAAAGTATATCAAAAATTTTTACTCTCTTTTTGATCGCAAAATGTTTATTATCCATTAATTATATGATAACGACGTAATATTTGGTGAACATTTGAGAATATATACAAGAATCTTAATTAAAATCTCAACAGTTAGATTCACCATATACTGAAGTACCAATAACATAAATATTTCAATCTGCTTTTAATGTACATTAATCATAAGTTACTAACGAGATTGATTTAATGTTCATGTATCAGGAATATTACAATTATCATTAAGAAAATTGGAATTCTCTTGCAATGTGTGCAGTGCAGTGTCCACAGACCGTGATTGCATTTCAATATTTATACATGAATGAATAAATTCAACGATGTTAAATAAAATTTAAACGAGAATATTAAATATCTACACTTGTATTCTTGCAATGAAAATTGTTTGAAATGTTTGTTCCAAGAATATCATGATAATTTTGGACATTATTAGTTAGAATCCTGTGGCACGAATGGCGCGGTTTCGGCACCAAATCAAGTGTCAGATTGATTAGCGGTGACATAAACGTTGATAGTTCAATAAGGCTAGTGTTGCGCCGACACACCGGCACAGTGTCGGATTTTCTTCCTAACAGTAACATCTTAATAGAGTCAATAATATTCTATTAGAGATTAATAAAAAAATATCAGTCAGAAATTATCATCTGTTGGTAACATGTTCTCGCGGTCAGAGTAGGGCCAACAGAATCATAGCGGCAACTGCTAAGTCCATTCTTGTATAGTGAATGCCCACTGGTGATCGTGCATCCCTGACCGCTTTAACCTATCGCAACCGTGCGCTTGAAACAGTTCGTTTATTGTTTTTATCTAACAGTTTGGGCCGGTGCTATTTGTGTGGGCGTATCGCGGGCTGCTGGTGCTCTGGTGGCAGGTCGCAAACGATCGCCCAGACTGGCTGCATTACTCGGCGGTCTACTGTTACCGCTAGCCTGTCTCTTCACATCATTTGCTACACAACTGCATCAAACTTTACTGAGCTATGGTAACTTTTTTCTGATCCGTATCATCATCACTGTTATATAATTTTGAGATTTAAGACAACGTTATTAAGTTACAAATTAGAATGTATACAAAAATACATCAAGAATAACACAATTATTCAGGCATAGTTCTGGGCGTGGGTTGCGGACTGGTGCGCGAGGCGGCTGGCCTGGTGTTGGGCGCGTACTTTCGCCGGCGTCGACAGTTTGTGGAGTTAGTGGCACACGCCGGCGGTGGCGTCGGTATCGCGCTCTTCAGCGTCGCGTATAAAGAGGCAGTAGGGTAAGTCCCTGAATGAACGTTGTTGTATGTTATTAATATAAGATTCCAACGTTATGGCGGCTCTTCGTTTACCGAGCGAGGAAGGTGCGAGGATAATATTGAATGGAAATAATGCGTATAAGACAAGAAGTTGTCAAAGAGTAGATGCCTAATGAAATAGAAAGCTTGATATAACTGTAGATTTTACTGTTCACTATGCTTAAATAATGTTGGATAAATTCACACAGTAAACTGGGATGGCGCTTAGGTCTGCAAGCGGTGACAGTTATACTAGTCCTGGCGTTTTTTCTAAGCGCTGTGTACCGTAGCGCGTCACTATATCATCCGCAACGGAGGGCGATACAGCATTTAAAAAATCAACGACGAAAGGTAGTTACAGCATCTTTTGTGTATTTCCTAAATTGTTTTTTTTTAAACATCAGAACGTTTTTTTGTAAAAAAAACATTAAATGTATCTACGTAAATATAAATCACCAATTATTTCATTACAGGTTAAAGAAAAGAAGGGATTAAAAAGTTCGCACTTTATTGATTTAAGCTCGCTCCGCTCACGACCCGCAAAAGTTTTGTCGTTATCTACAGGCTTGGCAGCGTTCGGCCTTTATACTCCGGTCTTTTTTTTGGTAAGAGCGTTCTAACGTGTTCAGATTTTTTTAATCAATAAATTATTAACATCCGTTACATTTCCAGGCATTACAAGGCTTTCAAGAAGGCTTAGAGGAGAGTGCACTTGTATTATTGCAAACATTTCTAGGCTTTGCCGCTGTGCTTGGTTGCGCTGGATTTGGACTGGTACTCGTCCGTCCGTCAGCTCAGTGTCTAGTATCAAAGCAATATCTCTGCCAAACTGCTATGCTAGGTATAGGTACGTACTATGAATCTCAATTGATTATCCAGTTACTAGTAAGCTGATGTTTTTACTTTATGATTTTTTTTTATTTTAGGCATCTCAATGCTTGCCTTGAGCAGCGTAGAAGGTTATCATGGCTACGTACTTTTCGCGTGGATGTATGGTTTATGCCTCGGGGGATTTCTCTATTCAATAAAAATGCTGACAATGGAACGCGTCCGAGGTCGACACTTCACTAAAGTTTGGAGTACGTATTTCATTCAAAATTTTTCAGCATTTTAATATAGATTTCAAAACCGTTGAAATGAATTTTACATTTTTCAACTAGGTTTTGTACAAGGGGCCGAAGCTTTGCCGGTTATCGTGGGAGTCCCGATGACGGGGTATATTAATCAGCAAGCACCGCGCGCGGGGTTTTACTTCTCTACCGCTGCAACTCTAGCTGGTGCACTGATGCTTTTCTTCGTTGGATTTTCAAAGCGTGAACCGGAAGCTCCGCCGCCAGCGCCCGCGCCGACTATTGCCGACCCTTGCGCTTGTATGACGCCGCCGAGATGTGAACCCGCGTGGTGCGCATGTAGTGCCGGCGGGGCGACCGCCTACTGTGCATGGCCAACCACCACCTGTACAACCCGACTGCCTAAATCTCTGTCCTACGCGGCACCACTAAATCGCACATGCTGTTCTGCTGCGAGTTACCCTGAATGCTGTCGTTCCGCACTTTTACGACCATCGCGCAGCGTACCAGAAGGTCTTGGCAAATGTCCAAGCACATGGAACCGCGCAAACTCCTGCAGGACCTCTTGTAATCGTCGCGATGTTCATCTAATCGAGCAAATCACTACCTCCGTATGACATTGACTTGTGAAAATATGACAATTAACTAAAAATTTTATCGAGTGTTTAATTCTTTTTATTTATGTGAAGTAAATTGTGAAGTGATTGTGTAAATAATTTATATAGCGAATTTTTAATATAAGTATTATATTGAATAGCAAAAAACTCATTAGTAAAACTAACTAAACAAACAATTTCTCTGAATCTAACTTCCATAAAAGTCTTCAATGTGAAATAAATATGTTTAAAAAATTTACATATTCTAAGATGTCATTCATTCAGTTTTTGAAATTGAAAGAAATCTTTTCAATCTCCTACAAAGACTATTTCATCATCAAAATTTTAAATAGGAATTTTTTAGGACATTTTACTGTATTGTAATTAGAGTTGAATTTATTCTATCAAACTATACTATTGTTGTTAAATTGAAATTAAAAAATGTAGAATTTGATAGTGTCTCAAATTAGAACCTATTTTCTAATTCTTGAAATAAATACTACGGGACCTACATATATTGTAGATAAATTAGTCAAAACATTGTTTAAACCCATAATACCACGATTTTGTTATATAAATACCATTATTTTTATTTTGTACGTTATTGATACGTTTCTGATTAATATCCTAGCGAATTGCTCATGCTGACAAAGTTTACATTAAAACCAAAGCCACAAAACGTATTTATTTATTACCTTATTAACAAAAATTGCTTTATTTTCTATTAAATAAATTTTAACTTAATAGTAAACTTGTCAGATGCTATAATACTATTAAAGAATGTCAATTTAATCAAAATAATATTATATTGTACAGAATGTAGTGTACTTGTATATAATAAATATTGATATTATACTATGTTTTTAATTTTTTACCTTACTTACTCCACTGGCGCAGCGACCCAAAGTGTGTCTCGGCCTCCAACACAAGAGATCTAATTTTAATAATTCATAGACCATAATTTTTACCTAGATTTTATAATATCTGTTTCCTATTAACTAAAAAGCGAAAGTGATAGAGTCCGTTTATTGCAAATAAAATAAAGCTTTGCTACAATTGAAGCAGGATTTAATTTTACTTTGTAATTGTTTTCTTATCAATAGTAAGTGTAAAAGAGACGTAAAAATTAAACCAAGCTTATAAAGCTCGGTTACATTTGTGATATAAATCTGCTCTTCGCTACGGTCTGTATGAACGGACCTTTACTGCTCAATTATCTTTATAAACTGATACGCTCTGTTTTAAATAAATGTGATAAAGAAATTGAATTTTATAGAACATTTTTTCAAACGCAAACAACATCAACGTTCCCTAATCATTAAATATACATCGCATTGTGAACATCAAAGTACATAATCATACTGTTATTATATTTTCTTATATCTAAAACGTACTATGCAATTTACAATTCCATTGTTTCTGTTTCGTAAACGCGTATTTACGGAGACATAATCCTACAAAGAAGCTTCAAATAAATCCCTTTGTGAGAACGAATTTAATATCATTTAATAAATTCAGCTTTAAATGAGTATTCATGCTAACGAATCATTACTTCAAAATAAACTTTATTATTATATTGGGATTTTCTCAAATTCCTATAAAATTGCCAATAACCGTTTGTTGATAAATAGTTTCCAATTTATAAATTAGCCAACCTGTGTAAAATTTAAGCAGCGTTTGCACTTTATACAAAATGTCATGTGCACGCTTTGCGATTACGAATCGCTTTGGCTTTGTTTCCAATAAACTTACAAAATGTTTGTGTATATAAAGAGAAAAGACTTAGTTCTTTTACCGTTATAAAATTACATGTATTAAAACTGTCTTCTTGTCTAAAAAAATCTTTCGAATCGAACGATTGATAAATTACAATTTTTAATGTACTCGTAATATTTTAGATACTCCCGAAACTAGTTTTTAGAATTAACCATAGATTATTCATTACATATGTTACCGAAGGAGGCCTCAATGTCGTGTCTATGCTATAATAATCACGGCCTACTCTTACGTCAATACTATATTTTAGAAATAATAACAATAAATTGGTTTCGTCTAGACCGAATAGACAGTAATGTCTTATTGAAATAAACATACGATACAAAGGTTAACCATTTTGAAATAAACTGTTGAAATTTTCAAGAGCATCCCGTTTTCTCAGTAATTTATTTATAATACAGTATATTTTAGCTATAATTTTGTTGTATCCAGTACCAGCGTTAACGTGGGGCGCAGTTGGGCGACCGCCCATGGAACTGGATGTAAAAGGGTGTCACAGAGTTACGAATTATACAGTTCTACGTAACCCTTTTATCATACTTCCACTAGATGTGGTAAAAAAGGGGAAACCTAGGATTCTCGGTCAAGGAGCTGATAGTCATAAAATCGGCGCTGGCTATATTTTCAATGTCGGAAGGGTGAATTTTGATATTTTCTATAATTAGACTAAATTAGGAGTCGAAGATACCTACCATACTAAGCAATATCAAACCCTGAACAAAGTATAACAAAAATCTTATTTTTAGGTCTGGACTCGTTCTTTATTAAAGTTATAAAAATATACAGTATTTCTTAATCCAAAATATTATTTTATCATTAACTACAAAGGTTTCATACAATAATCCGCTTTCAGAATACTGTAAGTGGGCAAAGAAAATTATTGTCGACAGACGGGATTATTTTCCTGCCTGTTATTGTCATAGCAAAATACAAGAAGATAATTCCACATATTATGTCCGCTACACCTAATATAGTTAATTCACTTACTTTGCTGTTAGAATTCATAACATTATTATCCGTGTCTGTCCATCTTCAAAACAAAAGAGGAAAATGTGATAAAACGTAATACACGTGCTCCTTGAGTGCTAAAGTCAATGGTGCCGGTATCAATCTTACTTATATTATAAATTCGCACGTATGGATGTATGTTTGTTGGAAAGTATCTCCGGAACGGCTCAAGAGATCTTGATAAAATTAGGCACAGATGTAGAACACAGTCTGGAAGAACACGTAGGCTGCTTACTAAGTTTTTTTTTAATTCCGCACGGATGGAATCGCAGGCAAAAGTAAATAAGAAAGAAAAAATGGTAAATAACTATTGTCAACATTTTTTTTTTCAATATATATTTTTATCGCTCGCACGTATCTAAACTTGTATCGGTTGAGGAACATCATGTCGACCCACAGTCTTTTTATACTTGACATTCAAGGTGTGTATTCAGAGTGACTTCTATAGAATATCAAATTCTTAAAATAGCTGCTTTGAGGTCATTGAGCAGAACACAGAAAAATCTTTACGTTGTTGCAAAAAAAAATCTAAGTATTTACACACAAAATATATTTTTCGTTAATCATATCAACAGCTCACTATACGTCCTCACCAAGGGGCTCGGAGCCTACCCTAAGTTAAGGGTGATTAGGCCATAGTCAACCACACTGGCCAAGTGTGGGTTGGTCGACTTCACACATATCTTTGAATTTTTTCCCAGATATGTGCAGGTTGCATCTCTATGTTGGCGTTGTCATGGCGGGATTTTTTATTAATACAAATTATTTTTTTTTACACCTTTAACGACACTGGTGACTAATAATACAACAATTCTTAAACATAGTTATTTAAAGATTATAAATATAACTCGATAATAATATTTGAGATTGAGCTTTGGATAACCATGATAAAGTAGTCTGTTATAACTCGTGATATTAATCTTGGCAATATGCCAAATAATGATACGTTGAAATCATAAGATAGTGCGTGAAGCTTACAAGGTTCATACACTTATCTATACAATTAATAACATTGGATTGTCTGTATGTAATATATAATATATGTTATATTTCGCGAAATAACATATTTACTGTACTTATAACGAAAAACATTCAAATTTTTATTAGTCGGTGCAAAAATCCTCGTTTGTTCCGGGTAATCTTCGAAACGGCTCAACCGATTTTTACGGGACTCGGACAAGAAGTTAGCTGATGTTTGCGGGAGCAACTTAGTCAATTCTTTAAATATAGATGTAGTTGTGGGCTAGCGCTAGTACTACATACGGAGAGATGGACAAAATAAAAATTAAATTATGAAAATAATTTTACCTGATAATTATCAAAGTCTAAGGTCTAAGAATATAGGTGAGTAAAATAGACTGAACGAATAAATGCAAGCAAAAATTATTTTAGAGCATTTTTAATTTGACAGTTAACAGAAACACTAAACCGGGTGAAAAGACCTAATGAATACGTCCTCGTGGACCACTTGACCTGTTCACGCTGCTAGACAGTTTATCTAAATGTAGACAGTTAACTCGGCGACTCGGTGGATTACTATTACATTAGTCTTTCAAAACTGTGTATAAAATATTATAGTTTAGACATGTGACTTTTACACCATTTAACTTGTATAGGAGTTTGAAAAGATTTTAGGATATATTTTCAGTCTAGAAAGAGATCTCACCAGAAGGAGGTCCCGTGATTCCTGTAAGACCATCGAGAGGTTTTGTTTTGTAAAGATGCCCTAGACAATTCCCTGTGTAAGAACATGCTAAATCAATCGGATTTTGCTAAAAACCACATTTATAGAAAAATCAATAGTCGCTAAAGAATCTTCCTAAATCTTCCACCTAATTTATATTTTAAAGACAAGTAAATTCTTATCTTTTGGATAAAGCCCCTGTATTAGTTAAAAAAGCCGTTTATTTAAAATCTTGGTGACAAAGAACTGATTCTGTCTGAAACGGTAATGAATTTCTTGTCGTTTTGTGTCACCAATACCACTAAAATGTCCGCTAACGGAGTGCGCAATAGCTTTCCGATATTCCTAAAGACTGAGCACGTGATTGGATTTCAAAATAACTACACGTGAGCAAAATTCTAAATATCGCAACAAAAAGAAACATTTACATTTTAACAAATATTATAATTTAACATTCCGAACGTATACCGAGTAATCCGTTACAATACGGTCCATTACCCATTTATTCAAATTATCACCCTTTATTTTTTCTTTTCAATGGAATATATCCTTTATTTTCACCAACTATAAGGACTATTTTATTGAATCAAATGAACAATAAAGACTTACTTCTTTCTGCGTTTAAAGAGAA